CCAAAAAACTAAACAAATGTTGAACCCCAAAATGGCCAACCCCCCATATTGCAACGCACTAACAGCGCCCCCAGACAAAAAAGAAAAAGCCTACGGCACCTGGTATTCCCAGGCGGTCTCCCATCCAAGTACTAACCAAGCCCGACGTTGCTTAACTTCGGTGATCGGACGAGAACCGGTGTATTCAACGTAGTATGGTCGTAGGCGATGTAAACTTTCTTTTAGCCAGTTTTGAACCAAACTTGGCCGCCGCCGTTCCAAAAAAACCCAAAAAACTAAACAAATGTTGAACCCCAAAATGGCCAACCCCCCATATTGCAACGCACTAACAGCGCCCCCAGACAAAAAAGAAAAAGCCTACGGCACCTGGTATTCCCAGGCGGTCTCCCATCCAAGTACTAACCAAGCCCGACGTTGCTTAACTTCGGTGATCGGACGAGAACCGGTGTATTCAACGTAGTATGGTCGTAGGCGATGTAAACTTTCTTTTAGCCAGTTTTGAACCAAACTTGGCCGCCGCCGTTCCAAAAAAACCAAAAAACTAAACAAATGTTGAACCCCAAAATGGCCAACCCCCCATATTGCAACGCACTAACAGCGCCCCCAGACAAAAAAGAAAAAGCCTACGGCACCTGGTATTCCCAGGCGGTCTCCCATCCAAGTACTAACCAAGCCCGACGTTGCTTAACTTCGGTGATCGGACGAGAACCGGTGTATTCAACGTAGTATGGTCGTAGGCGATGTAAACTTTCTTTTAGCCAGTTTTGAACCAAACTTGGCCGCCGCCGTTCCAAAAAAACCCAAAAAACTAAACAAATGTTGAACCCCAAAATGGCCAACCCCCCATATTGCAACGCACTAACAGCGCCCCCAGACAAAAAAGAAAAAGCCTACGGCACCTGGTATTCCCAGGCGGTCTCCCATCCAAGTACTAACCAAGCCCGACGTTGCTTAACTTCGGTGATCGGACGAGAACCGGTGTATTCAACGTAGTATGGTCGTAGGCGATGTAAACTTTCTTTTAGCCAGTTTTGAACCAAACTTGGCCGCCGCCGTTCCAAAAAAACCCAAAAAACTAAACAAATGTTGAACCCCAAAATGGCCAACCCCCCATATTGCAACGCACTAACAGCGCCCCCAGACAAAAAAGAAAAAGCCTACGGCACCTGGTATTCCCAGGCGGTCTCCCATCCAAGTACTAACCAAGCCCGACGTTGCTTAACTTCGGTGATCGGACGAGAACCGGTGTATTCAACGTAGTATGGTCGTAGGCGATGTAAACTTTCTTTTAGCCAGTTTTGAACCAAACTTGGCCGCCGCCGTTCCAAAAAAACCCAAAAAACTAAACAAATGTTGAACCCCAAAATGGCCAACCCCCCATATTGCAACGCACTAACAGCGCCCCCAGACAAAAAAGAAAAAGCCTACGGCACCTGGTATTCCCAGGCGGTCTCCCATCCAAGTACTAACCAAGCCCGACGTTGCTTAACTTCGGTGATCGGACGAGAACCGGTGTATTCAACGTAGTATGGTCGTAGGCGATGTAAACTTTCTTTTAGCCAGTTTTGAACCAAACTTGGCCGCCGCCGTTCCAAAAAAACCCAAAAAACTAAACAAATGTTGAACCCCAAAATGGCCAACCCCCCATATTGCAACGCACTAACAGCGCCCCCAGACAAAAAAGAAAAAGCCTACGGCACCTGGTATTCCCAGGCGGTCTCCCATCCAAGTACTAACCAAGCCCGACGTTGCTTAACTTCGGTGATCGGACGAGAACCGGTGTATTCAACGTAGTATGGTCGTAGGCGATGTAAACTTTCTTTTAGCCAGTTTTGAACCAAACTTGGCCGCCGCCGTTCCAAAAAAACCCAAAAAACTAAACAAATGTTGAACCCCAAAATGGCCAACCCCCCATATTGCAACGCACTAACAGCGCCCCCAGACAAAAAAGAAAAAGCCTACGGCACCTGGTATTCCCAGGCGGTCTCCCATCCAAGTACTAACCAAGCCCGACGTTGCTTAACTTCGGTGATCGGACGAGAACCGGTGTATTCAACGTAGTATGGTCGTAGGCGATGTAAACTTTCTTTTAGCCAGTTTTGAACCAAACTTGGCCGCCGCCGTTCCAAAAAAACCCAAAAAACTAAACAAATGTTGAACCCCAAAATGGCCAACCCCCCATATTGCAACGCACTAACAGCGCCCCCAGACAAAAAAGAAAAAGCCTACGGCACCTGGTATTCCCAGGCGGTCTCCCATCCAAGTACTAACCAAGCCCGACGTTGCTTAACTTCGGTGATCGGACGAGAACCGGTGTATTCAACGTAGTATGGTCGTAGGCGATGTAAACTTTCTTTTAGCCAGTTTTGAACCAAACTTGGCCGCCGCCGTTCCAAAAAAAACAAAAACCTAAACAAATGTTGAACCCCAAAATGGCCAACCCCCCATATTGCAACGCAAATTGAAAATTTACTGGCACGCCTGTAAATAGGCCAAAAATCCGTCCGCTGAGCTCATGAATAAAAGTTATACCCTCAAAATACTCTATATTAGAGAGTTCTGAGAGCCGTTACATTAGGGAATTGAAGAGATATGGCAATGAACCTCTAGCCCGGACTCGGGGCGTCCAGTTCTGAGCATTTTGGATACAATTGGGCTTGAAAGTGGCGCTATTTTGCCATGTTGTGGAGGGGTCGTTTTTCAAGATGGCTACCGTTTCGCTTTGGGGAAAATAGGGGTCGTCTTCTTTGGGCGAGAATTTCTCAAAAAGTCAGTGGTCAACCCACCAAAAAATGAAAAGAAGTTGAAAGATGACATGTCGATCATCAATTTTCTGTGCAGCTTAAATACCTGTGAGAGTTCTGAGTATTTTTAAAAGAATTTTGAAGTATGGGCATTTAGCACTAGTGGCTAAGGGAATTTTTTCGCACTGTTTCATCCTGGGTGACCGTTTTAGCCGATTTTCAGCTAACTTCGACAGAATTTTTGTTTGACAGAAAATTTGACAGAATGGATTTTTTTGGCAGATTTCTGGCAGAATTCTTCAAAAATGGTTATTTGACAGAAAAACAGCAAATTTGAACAAAAAAGTGTACATTTGTTTAAAAAAAGCTTCAATCATTTCAAACAAACCCTTGCATAATAGGACAGGTTGGCTGGTCTAGGTGCTGAGGTTCACTGGAAAACGGACTTCGTCGTTGCCGGATCCGCGTTTTGCCCGAAATTTACCAATAATTTCACAACATCCTTGTGTGACTAGACTGTTTATTATGTAATTTGAATCTTAATTAAGGCAATACTACCAATCTGCATGTGATATTAAGTGTTTATAGTGTATTTCGAGTAATTCTGGGGAATTTGGCAGATTTTTGATAAATCTGACAGATCTTTGATGTGCATTTAGCAGAATTTGGCTCTGACCTTACGGTCACCCTAGTTGAACCCATAGGTCGATCAGTTGTTGATACTCACGAAAACAATTCATTCACTCGATCGAATAGTCAGATAGTGTATTTGGATTACGATAAAATTTCCCACAAATAAGAGCACGATTTCAAAATGTTGAATTGACAGAAAGACATCTGGATCCGTCAGCGCTATGTTCATTCATGGTGTGTGCTGAAACCCCGGAGTGAGTAAAAAACCGTAAATTTTATGTATACCTACGATTACTACTAGTACGGGTATACTAAGAAAGGTTTAGCCGGTACACGTACGTAGGCTAAGTTTATAAGCGTGTGTACTGTGTACAGTATAGTCGTGTTCCCTATTAAACGTGGCGCACTTCGAAGCTTACCCAACTTTCCTCGTGTAGTGTTGCCAAACCTCTTTGTTGACAAACCTCAAATTCATGCAGTCAAATACTGGTACTTTTACCTTATTAATGCTTGCTATTTAACCTCTGTGAACAATTTTGGTTTCATAAAATTTTATCCGAAATTCAAAGTCAGACGGTGGCGTCCGGAAATTGGGCACAGATTGGCGGAGTGTTCCCTAACGTGGCGCACTTAAATAAATCTCAGAAAATTCAAAATTAACATTTCAGAATTTCTGTTAACTTGATAAATTCTGATAAATCATTATTATCTCTACTTACATACCCAGCCAGATGTTTGTCAGAAAATTATTTTCTTATTTTTTTGGGCATTTTGAATATGAGCATTTTCTTCATGTTCCACTAAAATTACAATATAAAATCATGTTTTAATCATTACAAACAGGGTCCACAGGAAAATAAAAAGTTATTTTTCTAAAGTGATTCACTTCAAAAAAATGAAGTTTTTATTTTCACTTCAAGTGAAACCCCCTATTGAATATGTTGGACTAACTTTGTCAAATTTAGATTTTCACATTTAGGCTTAGTTTGTAGTTTATTTTTGCTATAGAAGCATACTCACACTCTTTATAGGCTAATCAGAAAGTGCTGCTTTTTTCAGATGTCTAATTTTCGTGAAATTTCATGTTGAAATTTTGATACGCAACCGGGTGCAAACGAATCTGGAAATTTGACGAAAAATAGACATCTGAAAAAGGCAGCACTTTCTGATTAGCCTATAAAGAGGGTGAGTATGCTTCTAAAGCAAAAATAAACTACAAACTAAGCCTAAATGTGAAAATCAAAATTTGAAAAAGTTCGACATGTTTTTTGTACATGGTGGAAGTGTGGCCTTTATTTACGGAGGTAGTCCAGTAAATAATATTGGCCACATTTATGGGGCTAGAGTTACTCAAGCTAGTCCAACATATTCAATAGGGGGTTTCACTTGAAGTGAAAGTAAAAAGTTCATTTTTTTTAAAGTGAATCACTTAAAAAAAAAATATCTTTGTATTTTCCTGTGGACCCTGTTTGTAATGTTTACCCACATAAGTTGTACTTATGACAGTCACTTGATTAAAACATGATTTTATATTGTAATTTTAGTGGAAAATGAACAAAGCATTCTCAGACGGAAATCTTTTACTGCAGTGTGTGTGCATTTGTTTGTTTCCTACAGGTTCTTAAGAAATTTCAGGGAGATGGAAAAGGCACCATGCATTATGTCACCAGTGTGCTGAATGAGTGGGGGCAGTTTCTGACAACTGTTGTGGTCGCCTCCGAGTCGGAGCAATGTTACAGGAGGCTTGCTCAGGGACTCATCGCACGCTTTAAACGTGCCAATGCTGCAGCGCCAAAGGTGCTCTACGCTGACAACAACTGTTGTAGGTATGTGAAGTATTTTGTGCTTATTTGTACATAATTATTAGTAATTTGCCGCCATAACAGCTTTTCACCAGGGTCATAGTGCACTGGCATTATTACCAGGAATTTATCAGAATCATTTCTCTTCATGAGGAAACAACATGCTGACCCTCGATCATACAACCCCAATCAATACTGCTGCCCCCCCCCCCCCATGACAGAAGAAAGTATGGGACAAATTTACGTTTTTGACTTGTGGACCAAAACAATATTTTGTTGGAACTATTCAAAGTTTTGCAAATAATGCAGGTACATTGATGTTTGGTCGTGTTCATTATCTCATTGTTACTCATTACTATCAAATGCAATCAATTTCATGTGACCAATGATAATCCATGTACTGAAAATGATCAATAATTGCCGAATTACCTGTCCCATACTTCCTTCTGTCATGGGTAGGCAGAATAGATGCGATACGTAACCGCTTGACCATCATGGTTCATAGGTTTGTTCGCCGAAGTGCTTTCAAATTAATTCCTGTGTTTTTGTGTTTTAAGTTGTACAAATACTTTAATTCATCAACAATGACGTCTTCATTGACCTTCAAATAAAAAGGAGTAAGGTTGTGTTCTCTTATGAGCAATTTTGTTGCTCAAACAATGACTTTCACAAACAAATCTATGAAGTTTGCAAAATTTCACTGTATAGATACATGTATATATGGGATAAGGTGGAAATGGTTATCAATTCTGTTCAATTTTGTTTGCATTTGTTCCAGGGATGGTGGGACCTCATGTCTTGCATCCCTCTTCCAAGACTGGACTGACGATGGTATGGTCATCAGACTTGACATTTGGCACTGGCTCCACCGGTGGGATATGCTGGTGCAGTACTGGCATACAACAAACATGACATGGACCAACTCATCCAAGCCATCCGCAAAGGGAACAAGGACTTCTCACAGTACAGAGATTATGAAATGAGGCTGTCTTTCGGCAAGCCACATTGATCAGGCATCAGCTTATGTGCGCCGAGTGACATGTGGCCGGTGTCCAGGTAAGCTGATGTTATTATTTGGTACATATTTTCATTTCAAGAACTTGATATTGGGAATGATCTATGCATTGAATGCATTAAAACACATTTTTGATCTTCAAAATTAGTCTGTGCATTGTGAACACTTTTCCTTCATCAGATAATGAGGATTTGAGATGTTGCAAAGTGTGAACGATACCTATCAGTGACTTTTTAATGTTTTGTTTTCTTTCTCACACAGGAAACAAGAGTGTGGAATTTGAAAAACTAAAGGAATCATGATTACTTTTAATTAGTGCATTTACACAGTTTTCTTGTTTTTGGTTTTGTTTTCTGCAGGCCTGAGAGTGCATCTGCTGTTGAGTACATCCTGGAAGGGTCCAGCTGGTCTAGACATCGATGGCATCCCCCTTGTTTAAGTCACCAGAAGCTGTCGATGTGCAGTGGGCAACTGCCGGTAAACATCTGAGTTGTATGTAGGTAAGGTTACACAATGGTTCATTACATACGCAACAAAATTTCTACAGCCCGCTGATTGAAAAACGAAAAACAGTAGATAAGTTACAACACTGGTACCAGGCTGCAGCGTAACGGTGTTGGTACAATCCAGTATCGGTTCTGTACCCCTGTGCCCAACTGAATTGTAACGACACCGTTACGCTCCTGTACTGGTATCAGAACTTCGCAGGCTGGTACCGGTGTTGTAACTGAACTATTGTTTTGCAATCGGCAGGCCATAGGAATTTTGATGTGTATAATATCAAACTTTCGTATGTGTGACCCCATATCTTTTCAAGCCCTATACTTCATTTTATAACCAAACAATGCAGTGGTATAATGATGGAATGATGGTAAAGAACCCTTTTATCGGCATGGAAAATTAAATGTTGATGATTTCAAATTTGTTCAAAATGAGAAGGTCTGACATAATTTATAGAAGACCCTAATGTATGTTCATAATGTTTAAACAATATCCTCCATGAAAATGTCAAATTAACAACTTATGATTTAAAATATCAAATATTTGACTTAAGAATGTAAAAACATTGTATGCAGCAGGGTCCGCAATAAGCGGTATCGCATCGCAATTTGCGACACATTCGAGGCCGACTGCGACGCAATTTTTAAAGTGCATCGCAAAACTGCTATACAACATTTTGATCATGAAAAGTTGACACAAAGTGTACTTGCCACCAAATTTTGGTCCACTGAATTCCACAACTATCGGACATGGTAAACATCCATCATGTTTTGATTTAGTTAAGCTTAAATACTGAAAAAGAACGTCAATTTTGTTTAGCTGTATAAAATCTGTACGTGTTTAGTTTGTAAACGAGACCACGTGATAAACGCAGCTAATAATTTGGAATCGCACTTATGATCCGGACATAAGGAATGCCCGGAGCGTCAGTGCGATACCAAATTATCCGCAGCACGTATCACGTGGTAAATCACGTGCATGGCGGAGGAAGTTGCAGGACGTACGTCGAGATTTTACCTCGTACTCTAAATCTGCTGCGACTGTGCAAGGAATAATTTATGGATTTATAAAAGAAATAACACGTTTGTACACTATCTGGTCAAGTATTCAACAAACTTTATTCTTATTCTCACTCACCGGTAAATATATGCATGAAATGAGTATTTTGGTGGCTAAAAAAGTTACATGCACGTCGTACATGCTCAGTAAAAAAGCTACGTGCACAAGCTAAAATCTACATGCACTGGTGCGTGCGTGCACCCGGGTAAATCGAGCCCTTTTCTCATCACTATTCTTTAGATATTTGTCGGTTTATCTTAAACATTTTGCCGACACGGAAAACGGGTTTACCCCTTCAAGTAAATCACTTGATACGCACGTGGGATTCGTTGGAACTAAAACGTCAAAATCCTAGCTGTGTTGTCGTTTGTGCGCTGTGTAGCATTGAACATGGCTACTACGAAAACTACCGGTATCAAGGCAAATACATGTACTGCCAATAATTGGCAGGCGGATCTAGACCCGGCGGGGCCAGGAATGGCCCGGGTTAATAAATTGCTTTTTCACTCGAAAGTTATTCCAGCAAGCATGCAGCTCCTGAAATAAACGGACAACTGATGAGTCGTTAAGTTCACAGCTTAACTTAAGTTACTTCTTTATTGCTTTGTAATTTGTACAGTCGGACACTGACAGGTGAATAGTAATTGCAAAGCCGAGGCTAAATTTGAGTATAACAAAACTGCTATGCAAAATTGGTAAACTGCTATGCAAATCAAAATTTGCATAGCAGTTTTGCTATACAAAAAAAAATCCTTAAGGCTTACCCTGGTATGCAGTTGGTATTATCCACATTATTGTCGTTTTTATCAGGATCCACCAAATATCTAGCTGTACGTGGCGACCAAGGTTGTTACTATCAATGGGGTACAGCTGAACAAGTACAGGTGTCGAAGAGGCAGCGACACCTTGGAAGGGCTCCATGCCTACATGCCATCCCTTTGAAGCGATGTGGAATCATTCCTTTCCAGGTTAGCATGTACATTTACATTGATGTGGTATATTATGTCCAGTCAGAATTATAAAGTAGCATCACTTGTGTAATGGTGCATTGTGTGACAAATTTAAGAAATCCAGTTGTGCCTCAAAGCGCCAGTAGGTATACACGCGCGATGCCACTTTCTACTTCTAAGTAGACTTGGTATAGAGTATATGCAATCAATCAGTCAGAACAGATGGATAATTGATATACAAACCACCAATTGTGTACGCCAGGTCTGAGACAACCTAATTAATAAGCACATGTTCGCTGGTTCCACTCCACGGTCAGAAATCTTGAGCACTAGTTGGATAATAATGTTGAGCTCTGAATGAAGTTGTTTAAACCCTGATCTATGTTGAGTGACATAGTAATGCGTACATTTGAAATTGTATTGATTCCTTTGCTCTTTCACTCCTTTGTTCTGTTAATCAAATTAAAATACCGTACATTCATTATAAAGTGCATTATAACATTTCATTTTGAAAACATGTATTCTAATGTGATGATTCATTTTCTGTCTCTCTTATCTTCCAGGTTTATCTCATCTCCTTTGCCATGCAATGGAATAACCGCATGGAAAAACTGAAGGTTGCTGGAGGGCGAGGACGACTGACTTCATGTGTCGATCCACGACAAATTCAAACCAGCATGCAGAGATCTTGTTTGGGAAGGACCATTTGTTTGAGCCCAATTTTTCTGCACCAATGGTCACCCCAGACTATGACGACCCTGCAGAAGAAGAGCTTTTGGGAGTGGACTATGCCTACTGCCAGTCCACTGACTTCTCATCCAAGAAATATTACATTCAAAAAGGTGAGAAAAACTTTCATAGCATACAAAAAGTTCACGTTAAAGTTCTTTCCCATGTCCTAAGACACATAGGGTGGTACCTATCTATGTTTTCTTAGCCTTGAGATACACAGCCACATTATGGTTAGAATACATAGGTTTGTGTTCAATGTACCTCATATAATAAAATAACAAAAAATTGTCATTTGACAACTGTGCTTTTTATGCCCCGCCCACCGAAGGGGCATACTGTTTCCGACATGTCCTTCCGGGATGCGTGTGTGTGTGTGTGTGTGTGCATGGGTGTGCAAGTTGAGTACTCCCTCTGCTTGTATACCGTATAGACCTACTGACTTCAGAATAATCCCACCTGCAGTACATACATGTAGGCCTATATGAAAATATATACTATATATCTGTACTATTTCCAGTATGAATGCTGCAAAATCTAGTACCGGTAGATTAACTATTTAAGGAAGTATTAAAGCCACAGTCGTACTTGTATGGAAATATGCAAATACCATCATCCTTTGACTAATGGTACCGGTAGCTGAAAACTACGTCGGAAATCCTTTTGTAGCTGTCGGCAATCCTTTTGTAGCTGGCTTTGATCATTGCCGCAACTTTTGAGGGAGATGATAAGCCACCAACCTTTGGGCGATTCTTCAGCATTTTCATGAGAATGTAGGGAAGCCTAGACTCCTCTGTAATTTCAGCTGCCTGTGCATACCTCATCCATCCCAATTTTGTCTTTTGCGCAGCACTGGTTTCCTGACTGTCAGACCCTAGGCACCTACCAAATAGTGTATATCCCCACTTAGACTCGTACTTTTTGACAAACTTTCTAGCAGACTTGTCATGTTCTGCAAAATTACCAGCTGCTTCTGCTATCTTGTTTCTGAGGTTGACAGGGATGAGATGATGATCACCATCATCAGAAAGTTGTAGGAGGAGGAGTGCCAGGTTCTCTACATCATCATACCCAGGGAGATGAAGATGACTTGGTTTCATTAGTACATCTTGCAGGACAGGACTGATCTCTCCTGTTATCTGGTCCTCCTTGGTCAGAACAGCATGCTTGGTACTGATGAGTCCATGGGGTCCACTTGAATATCACTCGCGTCTGCATCTGTGCCCTCATCTTCAATGCCCTCGTCCTCGGACTCGGACTCCATCTCTTGGTTCTTGGTTGGTTCTTCTCCTAAATACTCCATGTGGGAGTTTATACAGGAGGCTAGAAACACCAGGGCAAACCCCTTCTCTTAGTGATAAGTGTTTACTGGGTTCTTTTATGTGCATTTATGCAACACACGGGACCTACTGCTTAACGTCCCATCCGAAGGATGAAGCAATAATGGTTAAGTGCCTTGCTTAAGAGCACAAGTGTCCGCTGGAGGGCTCGAACCTACGTCACTGTTGCCTCTGAAACACCAGAACATGAGTCCGGTGCTCTTAACCGCTAGGCCATGAAACTCCATCTCTTCTCGACATGACACTCCACCTCTTCTTCTTCATGGGATTGCTCTTCTTCAGCTGTATAAAAAAAAGAAGAATAGAATAAAAACATGTAGACAACCAATAAAAAAGAAATTATAAGGGAATGTGTAGTTAAGTGATGCATATGTAACACTAAAAGGTCCCTTTAAATTCTGTATGGTTTAAAATAATTGAACAATGTTAGCTTCTCATTTGTTTGACCAAATAAAAAATTAATATAACTTGGATAACATTTTTAGAGACTTCATCTTTGCGTGTGGGTCATAAGCGTAGACTACCCATTATCCCACCTGCAGTACATACATCAGGGGTTTTCTTTAACTTTTTTTTTCACTGGCCAGCCGGGCTAGTTAATCAAAGTTTTCACTGGCCCGCAAGCATTTTCACTAGCCCGCATGTGCATATGCCATATATCTGTGTTTTCTGAGCAAATGGAACGCAGCGTCTTTGTTTACTTTAACAGATCAATACTACAGAAAAAACAGACGTAAAGAATACATTATCATTGTGTTGCTTTCTGAGATGTTTTATTTGCAAGTGTTGTTTGTTAACTATGATTACAATAATGTTGACAAGAGAAAAGAAATTCCATAATGTCTTGAGTAAACATGAATGGTTCAGTCACTTTAGTCACATGAAATAAATGCCATTTTACATGTTCTTATCTACAGGCATGCAACTGTACAGTCGCCCCAAAATGGGGACATATTGAAATTTGGAGGACTTTGTACAGTGCTTTTCATTCAAAGGCAGAAATGAAAGACAAAAAAAGGAAATCTGCTGATCTGAGGAAAAGTTGCACTTGCAGTCACTGCTTGCAGTCTTCTAACTCTAGTCAGAGTCTAGTGGCACCTCATCCATCATGACATCGTCTTCATCATCACTGGGCTCCTCGCTTGACTCCTCTTGAACTTGACCTTCTTCATGCTGGACCACTCCCTTATCTACACGTTTTGCTCGCTTACCAGTTTTGTTCCAAAGGTCAATGGCTGACATTGGATCAAATTCTTCAATGCTGGGGGTATGAAGCATTACAACTAATTGGTCTGTGACGGAGTCATCAAGAAGACGTGTCCTCTGGTCTGTTTTCAGGAGCTTCAGGCGGCTGAAGCCACGTTCTGCATCGGCAGAGCTTGCTGGAATTGTCAGCATCAGGTCCACCATGCTGCTGATGTTGGGTAGCTCTTCCTGCACAGCTGGAATCACCTCTGCCCATTTGGCATTGGTGATTGTCTTGTATCTGTTGTTATTGACAAATAAAAGTATTTGAACATTATACTACAAACCCAGAGTTTCATTATTGATAACAAACTAATACTTGATGCAAATTTTTTTAGAAAATGTTATTTCTGCTTATAAAATTGTCATTTAATAAAGAAAGGGCCCATAAAATGTACATACATGTATCTTACTTGGCATATAGTCTCTGTTTCAGGAGGTCCCACTCAACAGCTACTGCATCCGTATCCACTCCAGCCTCCTTCAAAACTGGCAGAAAGTGTCTCACCAGCTGAGATATATGCTCGTCACCAAAGTTTGAAAAGAAAAATACAATTGTATTAATAAGACTAGTTAACTTAATTAATATAATTTTGGCTATCAATATCATGCAAGTTGAACCAATTCATTTTCCTCAACTTACCCTCTGCTGCCTGTAGCTCCATAGGCCAAAATGTGAAGCTAGCAATCCTGAAGCTAGACAGTACACCTCTGCTCATGTCTTCGAATCGGCCGTTAACATGGTCAAGGCTTGTATCTAGGCCAGTCAGCACTTTGCTGCACTGATATCTCCACCTCCAGTCAGGGGCTCCCTTTTGAATATGCCAACATCACCAAAGTCCTGCAACTTGGGCGTCATCTTTCTATGTTAATAAGAAGAAAAAACATTAATGAAAAGTTATCTGCAGTCAGGATGCTTTTTTCAGATCACCAAAACAATGAAGTGTTAGTTACCTTGTTTTGTATTTCGAAAGAGTTGCAACAGCTGCATCAATGGACGCCGCTACGTCTGCCACGGTGTTGTTTGACACTTGGGCTGCTACGGACACTCGAGAGAACTGTCACCACATCCAACATGAAGTGAGCAAACTTCATCAGGTCATGTCGACAGAGAAATTTCGCGTACTGCTTGGCCTTCCCTCTTGCATCTGCTGACATGCCATCTTCTACTGACATGCCTAATGGAAAACAATTGTTAATATGTTAATACAAATTATATTTTGTTAAACATAATGGTAGCTGAAAACCACATTCTATTTGACCAAACTATTTACAAGAACCGATCAAAATCAATACCATGCATTGACAATGGTAATGTTGAAAAATTCTTCTCATATCTCAAAATTTCCCATCAAAATGGAAAGCTGTTTTCAGTGACAAAAGCTAAAAGATAAAGGAGGACTTTAAAAGTAGAACCTTAATAGTTCCGTGTATCGGTACTCTTCCTCCCCTCCAGCTCTTCATCCACCACTCTCTTAAAATGTTCGTAATTGTCATGCACTTCCTCAAATACAGTTGTAGTTGATTTGTTGGTGGTTGGACAGAAGGTGAAGATTTTCTGATTACTACCAACAGTTTTGGCCTTTGATGGTGTGTACCTTTTACGAAGCCCACCACATTTTGGTACTGTACATGACATGCAGCACATGGTTTGGTGGATGGGTTAGGGAGGGAACGAGACTGTTTTGGTGTTGGAGGAGGTGGATGTTGACATGATGCATGATGCAGGTTGTAGGGAGACGGATTGTGCCATTGGCTGTGAAGGCACAACCAAGAGAATGGGTACGTCACTTGATCCTGGAAATGCAGTTGATATAGGACAAATACGGCAGGGAAATTTGGGCTCTGTGGAAGCTGATGACGTTGCATCCGAGCAGGCCAGTAGGTTGGGAATCTTCTAGAGACGTCTTGGAGACTAGAACTCCTACTCGGCTAAGTTGACCCCCTAGAACTTCCATCTCCAGCTCTATGTAACCAGTGTACGGCAGTTCCATCCCATTTGCGGCATACACTTTCAGCCATTTGGTGACATCTTGCACAGCAGGCTGCTGGGATGACAATCTGCTGAAGACAGTCTCTGGTAGAATAGTTACCTCACTCCCAGTGTCAAGGATGAAGCGAACTTCCTGTCCCAACACTGTGATGGTCACTTCCGGGCTCTTTGTAACTGCTCTACCAAAAACTTCACCTCTGCTCAAGTTAGTTGAGCCAGCTGATCTTCCCTCCAACGCCTGGCTCGTTACTGTGGAGGGTTGGCGTTTGGGGAATCCTTGTTTACTCGTTGGGATGGGTTAAACGGCGAGGCCTCAGCCCAGTTGCAGTTGAAGCAGGTGGGCAGGCCTCTGTATACTCTTGGGTGGCTTGGGGTGACAGGAGTAGGGACACCTGGCCACATAACTGACTCAAGGCCTCCTGGGTGGCTTTCAACTGGCTGGCCTGCTGATCCAGCTGTTTCTGGAGACAGACCCCAGTGTCTTCAGTCTTTGCCTTGGTTGCACGGGCCTCTGTAACAGGTGGTAATGGGGGGCTCTCCCAGGACATGACCTTGTTTCTAAGGTCAGAAAACTCCACTCCTGGGTTCTCTTGAATGTACCGCCTGACCTCTCGCCGTAGAGACACATCGGCAAGGCCCGACGAAAACCTCTCGTTCAGGATGTCGTCTTTGTTTTCCAGGAGGGAACTGCCCTCGGGTGAAGCAATCTCCACCTTCCTCAGCAACTTGAGCAAGTTCAGGGAGAATTCTTGAATTGACTCTCCCCTCTCTGTCTGCGGCCATAGAAGTCTTCCCAGCGGGTAGATGGGGTCTCATGACAGGTGTACATGTATGTCTTGATGATGTGCTCGATTATCCTGTCCGCAGTGCTTCGCACGGAAGGGGGGCAGAGCCGAATCAATGCTCGTGCACCGCCGGTGAGATGGTCGAGCACCATCTGTGCACCCTCATCATCGGACACGTCCTTGGTTATAGCCGGCGCATGTCTTCCGCCCACTCTCGTACCTCCGGGTCTTTGTCATGGGTAGGCCTTCCCGCCAGCTTCGTTCCCCGGTCTAGAGGCACGACAACTATCTTGGGCATGCTGGCCTTCCCCTTCCCAGTCATGGCATCCAGCTTTGCCGCCAGGGACTTTACCTCCTCCTGTAGTGCCTCGCCATCGATGTTGTTGATCACCTCACCAACCCTTTTTTGTGTGTTTAACTTTTATCCTGTCTATGACGCTTGTGACCCGGATATTGGTTCTTTTTACAAGTTTATTTTAACAGCAACAAAAATAATAAGGGTTGATGGGTAAGTCTATAATGAAAAACAGAAAGGAAACAATAATAAGTAAACATCAAACTATGTAAAGTATATAACTACAGTAAACTAGAGTCTAAGAAATAGGAAAATCAAATCAAAGTTAATCAAAGTTAAATCAAACAAATTTCAAACTTATTGAATTCTTTCGTCAAAGAATAAAGGTTCCTGGGTGAGGAAAATACGCTCGTGAGTAAAATTATCAAGGAACAAGTTGTTTCTTAATCCACCTACTTAAATATTCACAGCAACTTTCGAGTCCAGGCAAGAACACTAAAACTCCTAGTCAGTGCTGCGCTCAATAACAATTTACCACAAAAATTAATACATACTAATGAGCTAGGGAGTAGCAATACTAGCAACCTTTGTGGTTTCCCTGTGCAGGCTGATGGTGCACTGATCTGATCACATAGCAATTACATGTACCAGCAGCTGTACACAACCCTACTCACACAGCACAGTATCGATATTATACCCACACATGTAGCTATGCCTATTATCGATATGCAACTTAAAACACAGATTCTACACTCAGCTATAAACCTGGAGTGGATGTTCCTAATTACTCTACCAGCTGGTGTACTCCAATACTCCTTCTTCCAAGATAAACCACAAGATTCAGTGCTGGCAATCTTAGGGTGTGGTCTAGATAGTCCATACATGTACATTCATTTTAGCTGCATGTTTTCTAATCAGGAGTAGTCCCCAAAGTTTGGTAAAATATTAAGCGAATAACTGAATAATAGAATTGCGAATTACAGAATTAAATATATCTCAACCACTATGAATAAGTGAACAAATAAGAATAAACCAAAGATAAAAAGTAACTAAACTTTAGCTTAAACTAGCTAGCAAAGAAATTTGCAAGAAGTAAAAGTAAATCAAATAGTAATAAATCTGTGTGTAGAAATTGTAGTAAATGCCAATGTTGTTGAATTAACCCGTGTTATTTACCAATCTTTCCATGATGACTTTATGTCAATGATGCCAGGGCTAGAAATCAATGAATAAAGTGAGGGATACTTCCTGTTTATGTTAATCAATCATCAAGAATAACATGACAAAAACTTAGCTCACTTACATGTGGACGAATCTGAATGCACTCCGACAAATGCTTTTGCCTTCGACAAGGTATGACGTTTTCTGATGTGCTCGCTTCTTCTGGTTCTTTTGTTTTGATCGCTCGGTGAATTCACCGAAGTTCCCAAGACTGCTTATCTTGCCTATTATCACAAGATCCTTTTCATCTGATGAGAGTGCAGCCATATCCAGACGACACCGATATATGAACTCGGGAGTAAGCTTTGCACTGCATGACTCGTAACCTTTCTTTGAATTTTCTTTTCGACGCGAAACACATTCACACTTAAAATTCTGAATCTTGTCCATTTCCGTCTCTACATCTGCAAGGGCGGATCCAGGGGGGGGCCAAAGGGGGCCATGGCCCCCCCCCCCCAAAACGAAATCAATTTTTTTTATTTTTTATGTGACATCGCAATAACGGCAGGCAATGAGTACACCACCATCTTTTCCTCAAAAAAAAACATTGGTTAAAGTGGTCAGAAATTGCCTCAGATCGCACCACAGAGCATCTAGAATCCAAAAAAATTTCGGGGCCCTTAAGCGGGCCCCGAACCCCACGCCGTAATTTTTTGGACCCACTTTTTGACATCGCAATAAAGGCAGGCAATGAGTACACCACCAACTTTTCCTCAAAAAAAAAATTGGTTAAAGTGGTCAGAAATCGCCTCATATCACACCACAGAGCATCTAGAATCCAAAAATTTTTCGGGGCCCTTAAGCGGGCCCCGAACCCCACGCCGTAATTTTTTGGACCCACTTTTTGGGGGGAACCAAACATTTTTTTTGGCCCCCCCCAAAATTGTGTTCTGGATCCGCCCTTGTACATCTGGATCAAGAAAGTCTACCTGCTGCATTATCTCATCAACCTCATGAACTCCTTGTTGGCCCAGTCCTGCCTCCTCTTCCCCATCACTTTCTGAATCATTAATATTCTGTTCCACATGCTGTGCTGCATTGTTATGGTTGTTTGCACCGGTGTGTGCTTGTACATGATCATGCAGACCTACATCACCTTCATCATCTGAGAACAAGTCTAAGTTATTCTCATCCTTCCCAGTCAATAGCACAACATTTACAATATCCTCACTGTTTTTATCATCGTCACTGCCATCTGAATCTGATTCTATGCCCGTATCATCCACGTAATAATCCTCAATGAGCTGGTTCCAAGATCCAACGGGTGCGGAGCCGACAAGATTCGCATCTGCGAGCTCATTCAAGGCCCGAGCGATGTTTTCTGCCCTGCTGCACATGGTGGCTTAAATTAAAATAACGTTCCTTGGAACAAAATTACAACACGAGTGCAAAAATCAGCAAAAATCGAAGCATAAAGTTGATAAATAACATGAGTCGGCTTTGATTCCATGGGCGCAGCCATTAAAATTTCCCACAATGCACTGCGCCGCGGCGCGCCGCCTGTACCACGTGAGCGATATTAGCGAATCAGTGAGCGCGTACCAACGCCATCGGCCTCAGTCTAGCAACAAGCAATGGGTTTGTTTACATTCTAAAAACGTTTTTGATTGGTTTGTCATGACATCACCGGGAAATTCTTGTTGATGACGTGCTAGGGCAATGCGCATGGTTTATTTTGGTACCGGTTGTATGGGGGTTTACTGTGCGATGTTTACGCGAAGAAGCCGATCATTAAGGCAATTTTTGCGGACATTTCTCTTTGTTTTACGGAATTCCTTTGGAGACCACCTCCATAAATCACATTTTTATGCACTTTAGGAATAATATCTTGTCACAAAAACAGGTTTGTACGAAAGTTTATGACTTTTATTATTAGTTTTTTATGATAACTCAAAATCGACCAGATAGAGGTTTCTAACACATTTTGCATTGTACTGTGTAATTAGGTCATGCGACATGCGACTGGTTTTGCCGTGGCGGGTCACAAATATGAATTGTAGACTAGTAATAATGAGAAATAAAGAATGATATGTAACTTACAGAACAAGGATGGGAAATGAGCACCGAGTTCTTGACTAGGACGACTGGAGCTTAGGAATAATGGGATGCTTCCACGATGATGGCTAAGAATGAAAATGCTGAAAGTTCATACTGTTCACACTGACCACACTGACCACATCTCAGGGTCTATGAACTCCAGTGGGTGGCTGTTACTAGGGCAACCAGTGGGCCTTCCTTGTACAATTGCGCTAACCTAGTCTTAAAGGGGCAATGCACTTAAAGTGCCTGGTCACAAAAATAAGATAGAAAAACGAAAAATGAGGGGTAACAAATATGATTGGGACACCAAATTTGCATATATACTTTTGTCTTCTCTGGACAGTTTTGCCATTGGTCTAATAATCATTCATTTGTTTAAGAGAGAAAATAGCTACTCATATTAAAAACGAGCAATTCACAATTTATTTTTTTTTATTTATTTATTTCATTTTCCGGGATATTACAAACAGTGAATCATAGACAAAACAATTACATATACAAATAACACTGAGTAGTAAACATAACAGAAAACATAATAGAAAACAACACCCAAAAAGCTCCCGCAGGATTACCCAAAAGAAACAAGTTTCTGTCGAGGGGCTCTCCAAACTAATTGGATAACAGTGATTAATACATTTAGGATAAAATTCATTAAATAAAATATTTATAAAAATTAAGCAGTTATGCAAAATATAATTAAAAATACAATTACAAATTAAAATAAGAGTAAATAAATAAATAAATAAATAAATAAATAAATAAATAAATAAATAAATAAGTAAATAAGTAAATAAATAAATAAATAAATAAATAAATAAATAAATATATAAATAAATTATATAGAATATAAATATAAATGAAATAAAATAAAATGAAATGAAAAAATAAATAGAATAAAATAAAATAAAATAAAATAAAATAAAAATACATGTAAAATGAAATAAAATGAAATGAAATAAAATAAAATAAGATTAAATTAAATAAAATAAACAAATAAATAAAATAAAAGCTGGCATACATGCTATGTCCAAATCATTATTATAATAATATTTAATAATAATATGCAGTGAAAGGGAGTCTGTTGAGCCGGAGAAACTTGATTTGTGAAAACATGAAGTCAGGATAAAAATATCTGGGGAGGAAAGCTCTAGAATGCATGAGAGATGGGGTCTAGACTGAACAGATGATCACGTAAAGAATTGATGAGAGGTTTGGAGGAACGTTCTAGGCAAAGGTCTCGGACATCGGTGGAAAGTGAATTAAAAAACCTGGGAAAGAGGGTGAACAAAGAAAATTTGACGCAGTTTGTCCGGCTGTACTGATGTTTGAAGAGGAGGGTGTGGGTTTTCCTAGTGTTGACCTGTGGAAGAAAATGTGAAGGAACAGAAATTTGATTGTAGAGACATTTAATGACAAAGGAAGCACTGAGGTATACAAGTCTGTTGTAGAGGGGAGGCAAGTGAAGTTTGGACAGGCGTTGTTCATAGGAAAGAGAAATAGCAACATTGTAATGGAAGCAAGATTTAGTGAAGCGACGTTGAATTGCCTCAAGGCATTGGATGTGGTTCTTCTGGTGAGGTAGCCAAACCGGCGCGGCGTATTCCAAGATGGGCCTGCAGAGTGAACGATATAATTTGAGAAGAACTTCAGCATTTTTTGATTTTACAGTGCGCCGTATGAAGCCAGCAAGTCTAGAACACTTGGCACGAACAGAATTTACATGTTTGGTCCAGGTTAGGTCGTTCGAAAGGATAACACCAAGATATTTATAAGACGTGACAACATCAAGAGGTTCATCGGAATCTGCAAAAAAGTAAGGGGTTAGCAATTGCTTTCTGGAGCGGGTGACATGCATAACTTTGCACTTGGTGGAGTTCAGTTGCATCTGATTATCAGAACACCATCTGGAAATAGAGTTGAGGTCATTCTGCACAATGGCTCTGTCATCATTACTTCTAATAATCCTGTACAAAACGGTGTCATCAGCATATTGAGGAAGAGAAGATTGAACATGGTTTGGTAAGTCAGCTGTGAAGAAATTAAATAATATAGGACCAAGGACTGAGCCTTGGGGAACTCCTGAAGTTACTGGTATCCAGTCAGATCTAGCGCCCGAAAAGATGACTCGCTGTTCTCTGTTGGAAAGAAAATTACTGATCCATGAAAGTGTGTTACCGCAAATTCCATATTGGTGTAACTTATGAAGGAGGATTGAATGGTCGCACTTGTCGAAGGCTTTAGACCAGTCAAGAAAGATTGCATCAATTCGAGGAGGATTGGAAACATCAAGAGCTCGGGACCAGGTGTCAAAGAGGGTGGTTAACTGAGTAGTACAGGAACGTCTGGGTTGAAATCCATGTTGGGAGTCGGGGATGATATGATGCTGAGAAGAATGGTCAAGTAGTTTCTTGCTTATAAAACCTTCAAGCATTTTACATGGAACTGAAGTAAGGGAAATAGGTCTATAATTAACAATGTGAGATTTGTCACCATGTTTAAACAAAGGAACAACATTTGCCTGTTTCCAGGTTTGGGGAACTACACTTGTTGAAAGACTAAGATTAAATATGTCAGTTAATGTTGGAACGATTGAAGTGCTGGCTAGTTTCAGAATTTTTGGAGATATGCCATCCAAGCCGGGGGGTTTGGATGGATTAAGTTTATCGATGGCCTTCATAACATCTGCTTGAGAAACATGAAAATTATGGAGAGGGCTAATACCAGGATGGGCAGCACAGGATTCGAAGTCTGGAAGATGGTAGGAAGATTGCTGTGGAGAAAAGTTACTTTGGAAATTCACATTGAAAGCATTAGCAATTGCACTTGGATCACAGAAGGTTTGGTTGTTGCAATTAAAAGTTGTATTTGATTGGTGCTTCCTCTTACCGTTTACAAAAGACCAAAAACGCTTGGGGTTGTCTTTACAATCTAGAGCTAAACTATGAACATAATCATTGTAGGAATTCCTTGTCAATCGATTAACCAGTGATCGTAATTCTTTGTATTTGTCCCATAAGTTGGCATTGTTCTTGTTCTTCACAGCACGTCTGTATGCTCGGTTCTTTCTTCTCGCCGCTTTGACTATGTCACTTGTAATCCATGGGGACCGGCGGTGTCCTTTGGAGGTGGCGATGGGAACGACATCCTTCACTGCCGCATGGACAAGTGATGTGAAATTGTCCCATGTCTCGTCTACGTCATCTTCAAAGAACAGCTGCCACGGAATACATTGTAGGGTCATCTGAAAATCATGTTTGTCGACCTTGTGGAATTGGTGGAAGGTACGGCGGAGAAACTGGTATTTGGATGTTGTGGAAATCTGGAAGTGAACAGAGTCATGGTCACTGTTGCCCAGACCAGGTTCTTTGTGGATATTCTGAGTCCAGCTTGGGTCATTACAGAAAACGAGGTCCAACATGGTATCGTCACCATGTGGATTTCGTCTTGTAGGGAAGGAGACCAGTTGAGACATGTTCAGGGATTCAATGATGTTAAGAACAGCAGCGGAGCGAGTGTTGAGAGATGGGGGGTTGTGTTCATCAGAGGATGCCGAGCAGGGTATTTGTAAATTAAAGTCACCAAGAAGGAGGATTGCTTGAAATTGGTGTGAGCAGGGAAGGATGCGGTTGATCGAGAAGGAAAGTGCTTCATCAAATCCTGTTGTTGAGGATGGAGGTCGATAGCAAGTCCCGATGAGTAGTTTGCCCTTGTTGTGTGGAAGAATTACTTGGACCCAGATGAGTTCACATTCTTTGAAGTTGGCTTGGATGTCGGAAGAGGGCTCAAATTCATCTCGTCGTGATGGCATTAGATTTGAGTTGCATGCAAAGAGCACACCACCCCCATTGCGATTTCTGTCGCGCCTGAATAATTGGTACTGTGAGGTGTCCAAAATTTCGGAGTCCATGATGTCAGGGCATAACCAGGTTTCAGTTATGCAAGCGATGTCGATGCGGTTGAGGGCCAGTTCTGCCTGAAGATTGAGGGTTTTGTTGACCACACTGCGGGCATTTAGCAGGACACAATTTAAACTGGTAGAATTGTGATGGTCATGGGGCTGGTAAGATGTTGAAGGACCTGGATTTGGTTGAATGTCTCCTGACCTGATGATTTGAAGTTGGAAGGTACAGTGGGAATTACTGTAGTACAGAATTCTCTGCCCATGGTACTTGGCATGTCCAGTCCTGGCTTTGACAGTTGATCCAGAAGGAACAAAGGGATCTCCATGACCACAACTGATGAATATCAATAGCAGTGTAGCCAGCAGTTGCAGCTTAGTGAGATAAACAGCCATCGCAACAATGGCATCTGGTACTCACGGTTCACTGGTCAGGAAGCTTCATGATGCAAAATGGCTTCACTTTTCAGTTCAGAGAAGCAAGAAATCCAAGATGAATTTCACAAAATAACTCCACAACTCTGATGAAATTGAAGTAGAAAATGGTCTTGAACGATCACTGACATTAGCTGAGTAGACTGGTGATAAAATCTCTGTTGGTTGGAACTCTGACCTTGCAAAAGCTTGTGACGAACGCAGAGCAGTATTTTGTGTCAACTGTCACTTGACTGATATTTTGGGAGCATATTCACAAAAGCAAAGTGTAGATTTTAAAAGACAAGTATTTTATTTGTTTTCACCTCTTATGCATTATTTCTTTACAACAAGAACAAGTTCATGACAAGAACAATACTGTTAACCTACAAAATCCACCCTATTGGATGGGACAGTAGGTTTTCACTTTGTACCCATCTCTCCCTCCCTCCCTCACCATCATCAGAAAGTTGTAGGAGGAGGAGTGCCAGGTTCTCTACATCATCATACCCAGGGAGATGAAGATGACTTGGTTTTATTAGTACATCTTGCAGGACAGGACTGATCTCTCCTGTTATCTGGTCCTCCTTGGTCACAACAGCATGCTTGGTACTGATGAGTCCATGGGGTCCACTTGAATATCACTCACGTCTGCATCTGTGCCCTCATCTTCAATGCCCTCGTCCTCGGACTCGGACTCCATCTCTTCTTCTTCGTGGGATTGCTCTTCAGCTGTATAAAAAATTTAAAAAAAAGGATAAAAACATGTAGACAACCAATAATGGAATACAAAAAGAAATTATAAGGGAATTTCTAGTTAAGTGATGCATATGTAACACTAAAAGGTCCCTTTAAATTCTGTATGGTTTAAAATAATTGAATAATGTTAGCTTCTTATTTGTTTCACCAAATAACAAATTAATATAACTTGGATAAAATTTTTAGAGACTTCATCATTATGTATGGGTCATAAGCGTGGACTACCCATTAGGAAAATTACAAGTCTTTTTGTCAAACAATTTTCCTGGGACCCGAACAGCGGAAATCACCAACCGATCACTGGAAGTGCAAGTAGTCTCCCCTCCAGCAACTGCCCGTGCTAGCCTTAATGTTAACGTGGTGGCGCTATTGACGACACACTTTTGCATGGTAGTGGCTGGCCGCCGGGGCTCAAAAGTAACGTAAAATCCTAACCCATCAAGCAGCTTCAGAGGAAACATGAGTCTGATAAAAAAAAAAGTAAGCACAATTCTCCACAAAAAATACAAAATGTTCATTCGCTTCTGTAGAACGATTTGTTTGCAAAATCTTTGGCATAAGCATCATCATATCATGCTGCAGTTACAGTAAACTTCACAAGAAATATGCAAATGCTGGAGAAAGCAAGTACAGTTTGTCATACACAATACACTGTGTAGTTCATAAAGCATTGAAACTGTACCTCACTGTACAAGTGCGTTTGTTGTGTCCATTCTCTCCACATCTACTACAAACAATATCATATGCCTTCTCTCGTTTACATGTTGGATACAGATAATCAATTCTGTTTGACTTTTGAATTACTTGTTTCAAAGCTTGAAGGTTCTTATGGTCAGATCCTCTGAAAAATGACTTGGTTAAATTGTCATTTAATTTTTCAAACGTTTGCTGAGAGAAGTTCGTCAAGGGGCCATGGATTGATAGTGTTTCTCCTACGTGCTGAGCCATGATATGCAAGTGTACATGTACACTGTAACATCTTTGGCCAAGTACGTTTCTTTGTACAGTGTGACCCACGACTTTGCTTTGGTTTTGAAAAGCAACAATTGCGATTGGTCAAGATCAGATTTCATCATTGCCATAATAACAGGAAAGTCGGTCCATAATTGAATAACTTGATCAAGCTTTTTGTGCCATGGAATGAGAGATTTCAAATCGATATTCTTCTGGATTTTTGTGTGTTCAGGACCAATGAAATCGCGATAAGTCATCAATTTGCTGTTCTTGTCAAGGTTGAATTTCCATTGAATGCTTAGTCCAGAAATGAAATCTTCAAACTTCAAGATATTTTTGCATTTTGTTTTGTCGACATTTTTTTGATTTTTTTTTAATGTTGTCCTCAGTGTGGATATCTTTGACCAGCTGTCGAATAAGCTGGTCAGATATGCGTAGGTACATATGCAAGGGATCCATTAAAACATTGCAAACTTCAATGGGCAGCATTGGCTTTCGGTTACAGTTGTAATGTTTGTTCCGGCTTCCACGAAGTTTTGACTCTCTTTCAATCTCTTCCAATGTACGAGCACCTTTGTCAACATTAGTCAAGGACCATTCTACCAACATATCCCAGAATTTGGAGCTGGGGCATTTGCACCAGCAGCATGGGAAATCACTAGAACAAGAACCTATTCCCATTACTTCATTGAGAAGTTTAAGATCAGCACATAACCTGTATTGCAGATGGATCCGTTTCTCGAACACAGTAATTACCTCCACTCTTTGAGTAGTCGAAATAATATCAGCAAAAATTGGTTGCATTTGATCATATTTTTCGCGTACCTTTGCCAGTGCAAGAACAAAATCTGGTGATCTACATGAATCCTTGACCAGGCTGAAGCCAACATTTGTAACACTGTTCCTAGAACCGAATGAGGTACCGTCCCCTGTTATTTTCACACACACAACATCCCCATCTTCAAATTGACACGTTCTGTTGAAAGCTTGCAATGCCCTTACTAATTTTTGTTCCAATGGTTGACAGACAGCTTGTAGTTCAGGAAACACTGTGACAGTAAACAAATTGTTGATCTCTGCTGCACGTGATCTTATGGAGTATAGTGAGGGGAGTTTTACGCCGCTTGAAAGTACATGTACAAGCTCTTGGTAGGATACATCAGATATACAATGGCGGTCTTTCACAAAAAGCATTTGATCTATCAATGGATTACATGTAGTTGTTACATGTATGTCAGTGAACTCGGAATTTAGTTCAACTGTGTTCCCATATTGATCTGAAACTGTCATCTGTTTTGGACAAAGACCATCGTTCAAGAGAAGGTCCCAGGCAAATTGCGTGTCTGTTGACAACAACTTTCTCTTTCTGCTTAGCCAATTTTTGCTGTATGATGTCTTTCTGGGAACTTTTCTTGTTGTGACACTCTCTTCTTCATGAGCCTGGTCATCAACACATTTACCCTTTTTGTGCAGGCCTTGGTAATTCTTTTGAGTTTACGTGTTTCAGCATTGGCTTTTTCTGCTGTTTCTTCTGCAAGTTTCCTGCGTTTTGCCTCACTTTCAAGATCATGTTGGATTTTTCTTTTGGATCCACCTAGTGTTAGCTTGTATACGGAATTTGACCATTTTTCTCTCAAGAGTTGGAGTTGTTTCCCCTCGCTCTTTGTAGCCTTTTTAAACTGTGTTGCGAGTCTTTAATTTTGGATAAGAGCTTTGGGAGCGTCAGTTTCACATCTACATATTTGGTATCAATCCCATTACTTTTGCAAAGTTTCTCAAACACTGACTTTGAACATTCTTCTGACTATATATATAGGTGGTTTAGTCGTTGTTGTGTCATTGTTGACCTCAGGTATGTTTTCAATCAGCGAAGCGCAGAAAAATACGCTCCGATTCCGCGTTTGACATTGGAACTGTGAAATATATACATGTACGGAGAAGCCTGTCCACCTGAGAAAGCATGGATTGCGTTGATGGATCTTTGTTGAACATCTCGACAATGGTACCAAATTTAGTCACAGTCTTGATGTTCAGAGACTTAGGCAGTTTCTCATTAAAGACCCTGATGGCATCCGGAAGCATAGATAAGTGAAGTTTCAGGCGATTGAAATCGATTTCGTCTGCATACATGTCTACGAGGGTTAAGGGTGACAGTACCAATGATTCAATGTCTTTCAGTACCGAAAGCGAATTTTGGTCAAAACGTCTTCGATCTCGTTAAGCAAAAGATCCAACAACTGGTAATTTTGCTGACGAAAGTATTGCTGAGGAGTGGTCCATTGATGGGGAGATTCACCGTCATCAATGCGTTTTGGCAGAACTGTTGGCCTTCTGGGAAGGCGGGGCTGATCGGTAAGGCCATCTGAGGACTCCAAGTCTTTACTATAAAGCGTGTTAAACGCTTCGGAACGGATACGCCTGTACGTTTGTAGAAGTGCATCACGTGATGAAGACACTTCTCCTGCTGTAATGTTACGGCTCTGGAGAACCCTGGCTACCTCTTCGGCTGGCGCAAACACTTCCTTACTTGTTGTTAGTCCGAGGTATGTATCAAACCTTTCCAAAAGAGCAATTAATCCTGGAACCTTCTTTTTGGCCTCTGTGTTGCTGGGTTCTTGGTGAATTAAGTCAAGCGTTTCCATAATGTTTGCGTTGTTGATGAGCATAGATTCAATCGATGCTGTTCTGGCAGTCCATAATGGTGGGGCATAACGGTTTCAGAGAGGTAGTCTTCCTGTTCCAAGGTTTTCACTTTTATCATCATGTAGTTGTGACCCAATCTGGTTGAATAAAGCCAGGCGTTTCGGGGATGCGCGTATGAGGTTGCAGATATCTTGTGTTGCTGACAGGGCATTTTTGATAAGCAGGCATGCACTTCCAGCTTCTTGTAACACAAGATTGAGGCTGTGGTTCATACAAAGAGTAGTGAGAATTTTTGGATTAGCGTTAGAGCCATTTGCTCGTGGCCAGAAACATCCCTGGTTTCATCTATTACAAGTCCGCAAATGTTCTGTTCTTTGTGTGACAGCAAAGGTTCTTTTCTAGAGGTTGGATGTAATTTATTTACTCCGAATTAACACCACAAAAAAAAAGGGTTGGTATTAGCACAAATTTTCATCAACAGCAAGGATTCTTCTAGCCTCAGAACTTTGGTGAAACGAGCATGGAACAAGAGTGAATAAATGACCGTGTGTGGACTGCCTTGCATCAACTGAAAGAATGGCTAGATAAGCCACATGTCTCAGAAGTGGGTACCGCAGGAAGTGCTTTGTGGTCTACCTAATGAATTATTCATGATCCACACTTAAAGAGGAAACAGCTATTTCTGTGCTCAATGAAGCAAGTTAAAAGAATAAGAAATTACACAATTAAGAAACTGCTTTAAACATAAAAGAAATAGCCAGATAGTAAAAACATAAAAAATCATGTCACAATTCTCCACTGCTTGCGCGTTGGGTCCCACACCAACTACAAGTGAAGGCTAACCAAGTAGGCATTTTCCAAACAACTGAATTCAAAACAAAAAAAGATTTTTTTTCTATTATCTTTTGGTCTATTCGCATGACTAAATTCTTTGGATATAGTCTCAAAACACCAAGTGCCTAAGTCGTCTATCTACAGTTCTTTGATGTGGCCATCCTAGCGTTGTGGGTACACTGTAGACCAACCCGCTTGTAGCCTTCCTCCCAGACGTTCAAGAAGCATCTCTCCCAAACCAGCAAGGGCTTGGCTGAACTGCGCGAAGTCCGGCTGAACAGATGTTACTTGAGTTTCCGTGTGGTTGCTGGTGACACGGATTGCTGACTCCGGTAGATGATGCCGATTGGAGTGTTGGCCTGCTGTTGTACGGGTGGATCTTATCGGTTCCGCTGTGTCAATGCTGTCTGATGGAGACTGGGAAACTGAAGGGCTTTCAGTCTCCACTGCTTCGTCCTGATGATGGGGCTCGGCCATCATCGCTGGTAGGGTGCTGGTACTTGGTCCCACTGGATCAGAAGCATCTGAAGGAGACTGGGACACTGAAGGGGCTCTCAGTCTCCACTGCTTTGTCCGGATGATGGGGCTCGGCTATCATCGCTGGTAAGGTACTGGTACTCGGTCCCACTGGCTCACGGTTATCTGAGGGAGACTGGGACACTGAAGGGCTCTCAGTCTCCACTGCTTCGTTGAAGCTATGTGGTTCTGACATCTCTGCTGGCATGGTGGTTTCCTGTGGGGTACTCAGGGCAGTAGTACCTGGGGTCTCCACTGCTTCGTCAGAAGCCTGGGGATCATCCACCATCGTTTTACCATCCGCCATGGGTTCACCTGGTTCACTGGAACTCTGGGATGGGGCTGTTGTTGGCTGGGTATCCACCTCCTTCACCAAGACCATTACATCCAGCAGTGATGAAGATTCCTCTTCATCAGCAACCTGACTCCTGTTGGTTGTTTCTCCTCCATCTTTGTGGTCTCCTCTCTGGCCAGTGGCTACTTCAGCGTCATGGTCTTGATGTTCGACAGGCATCGGTTCGTCTTCGCTGGCGTCTGCATTCTGATCGTGAGTGGCTCCATCTTCTGGATCTGGAGCCTCACCTGGGAGCTCATTGTCTGAGGCCTCTGATGTAGAGTCGCCCTCTGGAACAAACTCTCCCGTATCTAATACCTCTGTCCTTGTTACTCGCTTCCTTGGGCCTGTGCCATCAGCCAGTTGTACTTCGTACACGTTGTCATGTGGTCGTGCTGTAACCTTGTAGGGTGTTGCCTGCCAGTGGTCACCAATCTTGTTCCTCCCTGGAATACGATTCCTCAGCAGTACCCGGGTTCCCACTGCGATGCCCTTATCGTTGACTCTCTCCTCATTACGCTTACACCTTGCCTCACTCCTCTCCAGCTGTCTCTTTCTGGCAACCTCTGCAGCAGCTTGCAGTCTCTGCTGGTGTTGTTCCACCCATGAATCACAACCTACATGTAGTAGTTTGTCGGCATCTGCAGCTGGGTTTAGAAGAAGATCAATCGGGAGTGTGGGTTCTTGCCCCATGAAGACAAGGAAGGGGGACAAAGCCGGTAGATGAGTGCGGGATGCAATTGTACACGAACACGAGCTCTCGAATGTGTTGGGGCCATCTGCGTTTTTGCCCGGGTGGCAGTGTGCGGAGACGGTCATGGAGCGTCGGTTGAACCGCTCACACTGACCATTCCCCTGCGGATGATACGCCGTGGTCCTACTCTTTTGGATGCCGTAGACACCACACAGATCCTTGACAAGTTGCGATTCAAAATTTCGCCCTTGGTCGCTGTGGATACGGCGGGGAACCCCAAATTTTTGAAACCACACTTCAACAAGGACCTTGGCCACGGTCGACGCCTTCTGATATCGACACAGAACAGCCTGCGAGAATTTACTGAAAACGTCGGTCATGACCAACACATTCTCTCTTCCGTCAGTCGCTTTTTCCAGAATGGTGAAATCGATTGCCAAGATGTCGAGTGGGCGCTCAGCCAGTAACCTTCCCATGGATGGCCTAACTGCAGGGGTTGGTGCTTTGGACACGGTGCACCTCTCGCATTTCTGACACCACTTCTCTACGGTTGTGGCCATTCCCGGCCAGAAACACCTCTTCCTGATGAGCGCAAGAGTGCGCTCTCGTCCTTGATGACCTGCCTGATTGTGGAGTGTATCCATCACCATCGGCTGGAGTTCAGCAGGGAGAAGCAACTGATAACTGTCGCCCTCGACTGGGTCATGAAACCGAACGTACAAGACTTCGCCACGGACTTCGATTCGATCCCATCTCTTGATAAGAGCTCTCAGGGGACTAGATTCATGCTTCAGCTGCCGACTCCCAGGTTTACCTCCTCGTCTCCACAATGTGTAGAACGGTGATATCAATGGATCACTCTGTTGTAGCCGTGCTAGATCTTCATGAGAATAACCTGGTATGGTTGAGGTAGCAGATGGAGCCGCAGTAGCCATGGTCATGCGTACAGTCACTCCACTGGTGCCGTCCCGGGTTGGACATCATGCATTGCAGTGGACTGGGTCACGAGCTGGAGGGTGTCTTCTGCATGACTTTCTGCCAGCTGAGCGCATCTGCATTTGCATTAGATTTTCCTGATCGATACTTTATCTGGAAATCGAACTAATAACCTTCGAACTAATAACCATTTGATTTTACCCTCCAATGATTTAAAAGCAGACTTGTAAATTTCGAACAACAGTTCATTTATCACATCATGTGACATGTATGCTTTCTTAGCCAACCAGGTTTTAATTTGCACTTGTCTTCCCGATCATTTGAAAAACTGTCAAGTAACTGCATGACCGTGCTCAAGTTGCTTTCGTCGTCTGTGTGCCCCCTTATTGCAAGTCCCTGCCTTGCCAAATATTGCAAGCATTGTATTTGGGCGAGCAGGCATTTTCGATTGTTTATCTGAGCTTGATTCACTTGTCGTTGAATTTGTGGATTCACTCCCCTGGTATCTCGCAATAAATATGACATAACCTTATAGTCACACTCCTTGTGAAAAGCTGAAGTTTGATGCATGTCTAATTTAGATGGACACTCTTTCCAGTTATTCATACCTGTAGAAATGAAGGCATTTTCTCCACACTTAGAAAAAGACACAAGCTTCTTTGCGGTGGCAAAGCGGCATTCGGAGCAAAATGCCTTCTTTTTCGTTTTGCATAAGTATAACCAGGGTCTGTCCTTGGACCAGCTCTCGTTGAAATACCTTGATCTCGAACCAAACATTCGTTCTGTTTCTTCTCTTTGCACTGGTAATCGGTTTGGTTTGGGAGATATGGTGCAACAAAGCAACGGACATTCATCTGGCTTCAAGGAAGTATCACCTGCTCCAGTTCCTGCTTTTGTCAGATCAAAATGTGTTTTAAACAAGTTCATCAAAAAGAACATTGTGGTTTCATTTTGCTTGCCAGATTATGAAAAAGAATGGCATACCCCATAGCTACACACCCAATCCTTGACAATCACTGCTACAAAAAGCTGCTAAAAGTTCAAGGGAAATTTGTATTCTGTTATATATTAATAAACAATAGCAACTGATTTTGATGATAAGCAAGAGCTTTTTTTGGGGGGGGGGGTGAAGATCATCACATCATGAGGAGGAAATAAGAACCACTGACCTGATATTGTGGTGTTTTCTGGTGATTGTCCTATTGAACTCGAGGGTGAGCGAGAGGTGTTCATGGTTGGAGGCGGTGCCATCTTTGGGGTAGAGGTGTCTCGTGGTCGGAGGCGGTGCCATCTTTGGGGTAGAGGTGTTCGTGGTTGGAGGTGGTGCAGTCTCTGAGGTGGAGGTGTTCGTGGTTGGAGGTGTTGCTGTCTTTGGGGTAGAGGTGTTCGTGGTTGGAGGTGGTGCTGTCTTTGGGGTGGAGGTGTTCGTGGTTGGAGGTGGTGCCGTCTCTGAGGGAGAGGTGTATTCATAAGGTTGTTTCATTCGTACATATTCATAAGGTTGTTTCATTCGTACAATTTCTTCTTGTGCAATAACACCGGGCGCTTTTAACATCACCATCATAGGATCATCATTGTAATTGCAAAATTACAATGCAAAAGTAAACAAGAACAGTCGTGTTTGGTAAACACAAATGCCCCGCAAGCCAGTCCTTGCGTATGATTTGACTCTGTCCATGTACATGTAGTTCTGTGGAAACATTCATTTTGTCCCTCAACTTGCACACCCATGCACACACACACACGCACCCCGGAAGGACATGGAAACAGTATGCCCCTTCGGTGGGCGGGGCATAAAAAGCACAGTTGTCAAATGACAAGTTTTTTGTTATTTTATTTTATGAGGTACATTGAACACAAACTTATGTATTCTAACCATAATGTAGCTGTGTATCTCAAGGCTAAGTAAACATAGATAGGTACCACCCTATGTGTCTTAGGACATGGGAAAGAACTTTAATGTTGACTTTTTTTTTGTATACTATGAAAGCTTTTCTCACATTTTTTAATGTAATATTTCTTGGAAGAGAAGTCAGTGGACTGGCAGTAGGCATATTCCACTCCCAAAAGCTCTTCTTCTGCAGGGTCGTCATAGTTGTCTGGGGTGACCATTGGTGCAGAAAAATTGGGCTCAAACAAATGGTCCTTCCCAAACAAGATCTCTGCATGCTGGTTGAGTCTTTGAATTTGTCGTGGATCGACACATAAGTCAGTCGTCCTCGCCCTCCAGCAACCTTCAGTTTTTCCATGCGGTTATTCCATTGCACGGCAAAGGAGATGAGATATACCTGGAAGATAAGAGGGACAGAAAATGAATCATCACATTAGAATACATGTTTTCAAAATGAAATGTTATCATACCTATCATAATGCACTTTATAATGAATGTATTCTAATTTGATTGACAGTACAAAGGAGTGAAAGAACGAAGGAGTCAATACAATTTCAACTGTACGCATTACTATGTCACTCAATTTACGTTTTCTTACTCACTCAGGGTTTTTTACTTTACTTTACTTTACTTTACTTTATATCATCTCAAGGCATAAAAGAATACAGTTTGTACTTAGAATTTACTATGATTCATGCATTTGTAGAATATAAAGATAAGAATAACATATGAATAACACCACCTAGAGATGCAGGGGACCCACAAAAAGCAAAGCTTGTCGAGTGTGAGTCCCCTGAACATAAAGAACAAAGAAGATCAGAACGATTATAAACAAAGACAGTATGAAAGCTAAACAAAAAACATACATACACAAAAATAACGTAACATAATACAAATTAAAGGTAAATTTTAAATGAAAATGATAATAAGCTACGCGAAAGCCACAATATGACAAACAATAACAAATGGGTGAATTTTACAGGGAAATGAATGAATTTATAAAATAAAATAAAAGGTTCCAAAACAAGCAAAGATAATACACAAGGAGCATGCAAGAAAGCCACACCAACAAGATATAAAATAATACAAAATAATACAAAACCGTGATCTATGAAGATAAACAGGTAGTACGAAGGATGTAGAAGGAATGTTGCAGAACAGTATTGACAAGAAAAGACAATTTGATAAGAGATGAAATTCTGAGGTCATGAACTGGAGTACTTGTTGAGAAGAATCTGTTTAAAGTTAGTTTTGAAAATAGAAATAGATAACGATTTTTTTTTATTGTATTGTCTAGGGAGTTCCACAATTTTGGCCCTTCAAATTAAACACTTTTTTGGCTAGAGCTGTCCGTACAAAAGGTAAATGAAATTCGGTGGCTTGTCGAGTAAAATATCTATGAAAGTCCCTATTTCTGTTAAACATGGACGAAATGCAGTTCGGTAGATCATTTTTTGTTAATTGAAACATGAAGATAGCGAGTTGAAAATGGTATATGTCGTTTACCTTGAGTGTGTTATCTAGTAGAAAAAGCGGGTCAGAGTGAGCTAGATAGCTGGTATGATTTGTAATTCTTAGGGCCTTTTTTGGAGTAAAACTAGTCGATTCATTGATTTTTGAATACAGTTTCCTCAAGCTAAGATTCTGTAATTAATATATGACAATATTAAAGTATTGTACAGGGATAAAATGATATATTTAGGAATATAAAACTTGAGCCTGTTGATAATACCAATGTTTCTAGAAATAGTTTTACACATATAATCGATGTGGTTATTCCAAGTTAATTTATTATCAATATATAAACCAAGAAATTTAGTGCAATCTGTTACAGTAATCTTGTTGTTATCGATGAAAATATCCCTTGGTAATGAACGTAAAGAACTGAACAACATACACTTAGTCTTTTTGACATTTAAGGAAAGTTTGTTTGCTTTTATCCAGTCTGATATCAGAACAAGGTCAGTATTAACAACGTCAATCAAATCATTAATATTTTTGTTACTATACAATAAATTTGAATCATCGGCCAATAAGATACACGACAAATGTTTTGAGACATTAACTAGGTCATTTATATAAACAAGAAATAGTAAAGGTCCAAGAATAGATCCTTGAGGAACCCCACATGTCAAGGAACGTATATTAGAAGGAGTGTCATTAACTAATACATATTGCTTTCTGTTAGAGAGAGAACTTTGGAACCAAGCAAGAGGGACTCCTCTGATGCCGTAGTAATTAAGCTTGTATAACAATACATTATGATGTAAGGTGTCAAAAGCTTTTGAAAAATCAAGAAAAATACCGAGGGTGTGTTCTGAATTGTCTAGACCTGTCACAACCTTATTAATGAGATTAGTAGTTGAATGTTTTGCACTAAACCCAAACTGGAAATTTGACAGATATCGTATTTACGTAAGAAATCAAGAGTACGTACATAAACAATTCTTTCAATTTTTTTTGAAAAACACGGTAATATTGAAATTGGCCTGTAGTTGCTTACTTGGTCAGTATCTGAAGCTTTGTAAATAGGAATAACTTTTGCTATTTTCAGGTTGTCTGGCACAATACCAGTTGATAAAGAAATGTTAATAATGTATGTTAGAGGTTCTCCAATTATGGAAACAATATTTTTCAGAACAAAGGAAGTGATTGAATCAAAACCAGTGCTAGCTTTATTTGGCAAATTCTTAATAATATCAGCAATTTCTTTCTTAGTGGCTGGTTGAAAAAATAAAGAATGTGGGTTAGGATGAGCGAGATAATCAGAGAATTTTGTTTTGCATTGAGGAATATTTTGGCCAGATTGGGGCCTATGTTTGCAAAAAAATTATTAAAACTCTCGGCCATAATTTGGGGGTCATCAGTTAAATTTCCATTTAAAGTGATGTCAGGAATTTTCGTAGAAGGAGATTTTTTTTTTATTAATAACCTGGTTTATAATTTTCCAAGTATTCTTAATATTTGGTTTTTCTTTTTCAAATTGAGAGCAATAATACATGTACTTCTTCTTAGCTGTTCGTAAAACACTGGTTAGAATATTTTTGTATTTAAAATAGTTCGCATGATTTATTTCATTACGTTTAGAAAGGAATTTATGATACAGTCTATTTTTAAGTTGTATTGATCTCAGAAGGGATATTGTTACCCAGGGAGATTTAGGATTGGCTTTGTTTTTCTTTTATTTCTAAGTGGGACATTTTTGTCGTGATGATCATTAAATATATTTGTAAAATTGTTAAAAGCAATAATAGGATCTAGGGTATTAAATACAGGGGACCAGTCGGCTAAATTCAAATCACGTGTTAAGTTTTCTAAATTATCCTTAGTTTAATAACGAGAGCTGGCATTCTTAGTAATCTCAGGGTGAGCATTGATCATTGGTATCGAGGTTAAAATAGGAAAATGGTCAGTAATATCTGCAGTTAATATAACAGAGTCTGGTATGGGTAGAATGCTTGTGTAAATATTATCAATTAAAGTTGCCGAATGACGGGATACCCTTGTGGGTTTATCTATAAGTGGAATAAAGGAGTATGAAAACATAGTATCAAGAAATTTTGTACAGTGATATTATCATCATAATTTAGAAGATTAATATTTAAATCTCCAGAGAGAGTACAATGTTTATTTTCATTAGAAATGCAGGTGGTTATATTATCGAAGTGGTACATAAAATCATTATATGAAACTTGTGGCGGTTTGTATAAAACACCAATTATCACGTTTTTGATGACGTTTGTCTCAATTCAAAAGAGAGCGGTTCAATTGAGTTATTGGAAAAATTGAGATCCTGACGAATATTAAACTGAATGTCATTTAGCACATAAATGGCAACGCCACCACCAATGTTATCAATTCTATTATTAGTAGTTAATTTATAACCAGGTAACGAAAACATAATGGAATTGTCATCTTTAAGCCAAGTTTCTGTGAGAGCAATGACTGAGAATTCGCTTAGTGACTGAAGAAGTAATTTAAAGTTATCAAAAATTTTCGGGAGACTTCGTATATTAAAGTGAATAAAATCTAGCTTTTGATTGACAACAGAATTAGACTGGAGAATACATAAATCTTTTTCGGAGTACAGGCACTTATGTGTAACCGGTACAGGATTATCGGGGTCTACGGTTTCAGCACACACCATGAACATAGCGCTGACGGATCCAGATGTCTTTCTGTCAATTCAACATTTTATAATCGTGCTCTTATTTGTGGGAAATTGTATCATAATCCAAATTCTATATTTTGTCTTCGAGTGAATGAATTGTTTTCGTGAGTATCAACAGCTGATCGACCTTTGACACTATCCTAAAGGAAGGTCACAAAGGTGATGTCATCCCTCACCATCGGTCGGTGATTGGTCTGTTGAGCAACCAGCTTGCTCAATGATTGGTCTGTTGAGGAAACTAGCTTCTCATCAGAGCTCAATGATTGGTGGGTTGAGGACCCACTAAGATCCCATCCTTGGCTGGGAGACCGCCTGGGGAATACCAGGTGTGGTAGGCTTTTGGGTTTTTTTTTGTCTGGGGGCGCTGGTAGTGCTTTGCAAGTTTGGGGGTTGGCCATTTTGGGGTTTCAATTTTTATTTT